GAGGGGGAGAGGGCATGACAAGCATGGCTGCCATAGCCCGTACACCAAAAAAAAACAACAACCGCTACAAGGCAAATGAAAATACCCAAAGAAAAGACACGCGGACGGTGCAACGACGTCTTTACAAAGAACGTGGGAACAACGGGGAGGGGGGGGGCATGACAAGCGTTACTGCCATAGCCCGTACGCCAAAACCAATACACAACCGCTACACAAAAAAAAACACCCAAAGAGAAGGCATGTCGGACGGTGTAAACAACGTCTGTACAATAAAAGTTGGGCACAAGGGGACAGAGGGGGAGAAGGCATGACAAGCATGGCTGCCATAGCCCGTATACAAAAAACCACACACACACACACTCTCTCTAAATTCTCACGTGTCCAGCTGCGCTAGCAACGGGACGTGCCGCTCTCGCACCAACACCAACCCTCTTCCGCGCCCCGGTGAATCCCGGGAGGGCGGACCGTGTTGCAGACCGTGTTGCGCCCAAGACGACGGGGGCAACTACCGCAGCAGAGGAAGTAGGCGTTGCCGTAGCGGGCGATGACGACACGGGCGTAGGGCTGGAAGCTACCCCCGCCGCGGACACGGGTGTAGCCGCCGCGGGCGAGGACGACATGGGGGCTGGGCTGCCTCCTACCCCGGCCGTAGATGCGAGTGTTGCCGCAGCAGGCAGATTAGAAGCGGACGTACGGAGTGCAGCTCCTGCGCCGGGTGGTGTCGCCGCCGACAACCTCGGTGTACGCACCGCTCGCCTCCGACCCGCTTTCGTCGCTGGTGCCGGGTGACCCTTTCTTCGCCTTCTGCTTCCCGCCGCGACCCTTGGCCCCATACGCGCCGCGACCCTTGGGTCCGGATGTTTTGCGTGCGGTTCGGAGGTCAGGGTCCTCGCTGCTGCATGGCCTTCCGATCAAACAGAATGTCAGGAGATACTGGTGCATCCACTTGTTGGGCCTCTGCGGAAACCCGCCCTCTTCCTGTGTGATTTCTTCGGAGGGGGCATCATCCCCGTTGCCCGGCGTATCGTCTNCCCTCGGTGCTGCATGGCCTTCCGAACAAACAGAATGTCAGGAGATACTGGTGCATCCACTTGTTGGGCCTCTGCGGAAACCCGCCCT